AGTCGCCGAGCGTGAAGAGAGTTGGCAGGCATCTCTCGCTGAATACTGGCATCGCCGGATACGACTCTTCTGCGGCTTCTCAGAGCGGATATGCTCCAACATCGCCAAAGCTTGGTGCAAGGCCAAATTATCGGCACATGCGGTACTCTTCCGACCTGCAAGTTCCGAGAAGTGCTGTCCCTCTCGGTCAGCAGGACCTCGTCAGCGACCGAAGTCCCACGCTTACAGCGGCGCCGCTATCTGCGCAGCCATCCCGGAGCCGTTACGACTCCGAAATGGGCTCCATGTACAGCAACACGGTGGCCAGCTACAGCACAGAAGATGCCTTATCGATGCCAGGAATTGGATCGCGACTGAGCCGTGAGGCGTCCGTCGCGCCTGCTACGAAGCACAAGCTCGTAGTCACCGAAGCTGGCAAGCCGAATGTGTCTTATGTGAGCAAAAAATTTACTATTTTCACGCGGTTCTTTGACAGCTGACTGGCCATATGCTCTGACTTGCAGCAACTTGGCAACTGCATAGGCAGGGGTCAATTTGGATCTGTCTATCGCGCTCTCAATCTCAACTCTGGTCAAATGATGGCTGTGAAGCGTATCAAGCTCGCTGGCAAGACCGAAGACGAGGTGATGCAGCTCATGAACGAGGTGGACCTGCTCAAGAGCTTGGCCCATCCCTCAGTCGTCAAGTACGAAGGCCTCGTGCGCGGAGACGATGTCCTTTCCATCATCTTGGAGTATGTCGAGAATGGGTCGCTGCTACACACGCTCAAGGCTTTTGGCAACTTTCCGGAAAAGCTAGTTGCAAGCTACGTCGTCAAAATACTCGAAGGTCTCAACTATCTGCACGAGATGAAGGTCGTGCATTGCGACTTGAAAGCTGCAAATATCTTGACCACCAAGAATGGCAACGTCAAGCTATCCGACTTTGGCGTCTCCTTGAATCTCAAGGCCGTGGAAGCGATCAAGAACGTCAAGAATGACGCCATTGGCACGCCAAACTGGATGGCACCTGAAGTGATCGAATTGAAAGGCGCTTCGACGTCCGCTGACATTTGGTCACTCGGCTGCACGATCATAGAGCTACTGACCGGCAAACCCCCTTACGGAGACATGCTAGCCATGTCTGCCATGTGGCGCATCGTCGAGGATGATTGCCCTCCGCTTCCAGCAGACATTTCACCGCCA